AATTATCAAGAGTATTATAATGGGAGTTAGGGTACTCCCATATATACTCTTTGTTTCTATAATGTACGTCGATGGTTGCTCAATTAAAACTGACTTCTTCTCACTCACTCATTTGTGTCCTTTTTTGTGGTGAGCTACAGTGTCATTGACACTTTCATTAACCAATCGTATTAAAAATGTACGTGACACAAAATGGCCATTGTCATCTACGGCTGTAACTATCTCTCTCTTCAAATAAGATGCAGACACAAGAGCCAAAGATTATGAGGGCCGTGCAGTACACACCTGGCTGTGGACCGGAAGGTTTAAGAATAGGAAGTATTGCAGTCCCAACCCTGCGAAAGAGAGAGATACTTGTTAAGGTGACAAAGTTTCTGCTACCATTATAATGAGAAATGCACTTGATTGCCTTCAAAACCTTTGATAAAGTAATGGATTTGGTTTTTATGTTCGGTTACTTGCTTTTATCGTATATGTAGTGTTTTATTATATAAATATGTTTGTTTTTTTAAATTTAAGCTTAACTAACTTATTTCTTCTTTTGTCTTGTATATTTCTAGTTTGATGGTGAATCTGTAGTATAATAGGCATATTCGTGTTACAAGGTATATGCAACAGCTATCAACAGAGCAGATCTTCTCCAACGCAAAGGACTCTACCTAGTTCCCCCTGGTGACAGTGACATACTTGGGTTGGAAGTTGCTGGAATCATTGAGGAAATTGAGGGTACTTGCACTGGGACTTGGAAGCCTGGAGACAGGTATAGCTCATTTACATTTTGTACTAACTTTATTATTCATCACGTGCACAGGTGGGCGATGCATTCAATGATGGCTACTTCTGGCATCTTTCTAATATTATTAGTGTGGCGTAGGGTTATTGCTGTATGCAGGATCTCACATCGTCAGAGAAGTCAATAGAGTTTTTGGTCGGTGTTGCAGAGTTATGGCACTGGTGGGTGGAGGTGGCTATGCAGAGTATGCAGCCATGCACGAGGCTCACGTAATGGCGATACCAGAAGGCATGGACTTTGTCCACGCAGCTGCCATTCCTGAGGTTTGGCTCACAGCATACCAGTTACTACACACCATAGGTATGTGCTCGGGAAAAAAAACGGAACGTAAAAGAGATAAAAGGAGCTGGAAAAGAGGCCATGAAAAATGGTCACTTGATGAAAGTTGTACCATTCGCAGAGTATGAGATTCGTTATCAGAGAGATTGTTAGATGACATTTTAGTTTTACTTCGTTGTGATTAAGAAATAATCAAAATAATTTCTAATTTTATTTGCTCATCTGACGAAGTCAGATGCAGCTTGTAGAATCGAATGAGCGTCCGTCCGTCTGTGCGTCCGTGTGTCCGTGTGTCCGTCAATAGTTGGGCACAAATCTTAACCGCTCGACGTACGGTCACGATATTCGGGACGTCGGGGGGATTGTGAAAAGGACTCGTGATGACCAATTTGGGGGTCAAGGGTCAAAGGTCAAGATGTGTCAACAGAGTGAATATTTCCCCCTTAACTTAAGGTATAGGAGGAAATACGGAATTGCGGCACAAATCTGAACAGCTCAACCTATGCTCTTAATATTCGGTGTATAGTGTGATGGGCAGGAAACCCATCACCAGTGCGAAATTGGAGGTCACAGGTCAAAGGGCAGTGGGGGAAAGGTCAGATATCAGACATTTTCTGAGGACATTGCCTAATAGACAGAGTTAAAAACTTTTTTGTTTCAGCGCTGCCCTACCATTTTTATCACTTTATTGAAAAGACCATGAAATGTGCTTTCCACTGACGTGCGAAGAGTAAGTGTCTGATAACCTTTTGACTCTCAAGAGGAGGGTTAAACATGGATTTGTTGACTGTTAACAAAGGACTGAACTGTGTTTGATGGTATTTGTGTGATCGTGGAAGACTTAAATTTCACAGTGAAATTCTGCATGCAAAACTTACTTGAACAACGTTTACGTGCCTTAAATCATATATGAACTTCATTCTCTTTATGAGATTCTGTACGTTGGGAATACAATGTCAATAGCACTTACGCAAACGTCTGTTTTTAATTAAGGCCAACTATAAATATCCCTACCTCGCAGGTGGATGGCTGATATAGCATGGGCTAAACGAAGGTAGCAACTAGTTCGGATTATCTATTCCCTGCACCTAGTCAGTATGCATGCCATCTATCGGAACAGAGTGAGAAGAATGTCTCGGCAGGATAGGTCAAATGTATATTGCGCTCAAAGGTGCAGAAAGAATTACTTTCTTAACTTCAGTTTAACCAATCTTGAGATAAGTAATTGCAGAAATGAATCGTCAAACCTACCAATGAAAATTTGCCAGTTTTGTACTGTCCTTGGCATGGCTCTCTCCATCGACGTTACAGTAGTGTGCAATGTCGGGATAATGGGGATATGGTGGAGCATGCTGGCTTGTGGACGCTGCAGAGCCCGATGGTTGACTGTCAGTCGAAATGTGTTGATCCTCCCCGACATTGAAGAAATCTGTACGTTATACGTGTGTCTGCCTTAACCTCTGCCCGCCATCTTCGTCGAAAGTTTGGACGCCGTGCGGCGAAATCGGAATGTACATTTCAATCGATGACATAACTGATACAGTAGCGCGCCGCATGGGTGTTATTTGTTTATAAACAATTTAGTCTGACTGACTCTCTCCCTCTCTCTCTCTTTCTCTCTTTCGCCCCCCTCTCTCTCCGCGGTCCCTCTCGGCAATAAAAAAAATTTGCTGAAGATGATGTGTAAAGCACTCGTCTTGCATATCTGCGGCTAACAAAGTGTCACTACGCACCACGGAAACGGGGGGGGGGGTTTATACGTATATAACCGTAGCAACAGACCTCAGATGAGCCCAGTCACTCTGCGGCTCTTGTTTACCATGTTTGCAAGGCAGTTGTAAGTTATTGCAGTTAGTGTCCATTACAGCCACACACTCGATTCGTGGCCCGAGAGTGTGTCAGGTGAGAGAAACGTCATCAGCGTCCCACACATGATCGGTACGTGACCAGCGCTGTCCAATCAGGAGATTCCGATTTCAGCTAATGGAACGCCTGAATCAGCAGCCCCTGATGACACACGTGACTCTGATGGACGTTTCGACTGAAGAATAGACTTGTGAAAAATGGAGCAACTAATAGCTTACTAATGATTGGTTCGTGTCTTCAGGTGGAGTAAAGAGTGGGAGACGGTTCGTAGGTGATCAAGAGGACTTCGGGGTGATAATTACTAATATCAGCATTGCCTTTCAGAGGAGTAAGAGGGAACGTGCTAGTGCATCGCAAGAAAGGCACTGCGTGGGTACAACTTACTAATGATTGTTTCGGTCTTCAGGTGGAGTAAAGAGTGGGGAGACGGTTCTAGTGCATGCAAGGAAGGCACTTGCGTGGGGTGATAACTTACTAATGATCAGTCATTGCCTTCAGGAGGAGTAAAGAGTGGGGAGACGGTGCTAGTGCATGCAAGGAAGGCACTTGCGTGGGGTGACAACTTACTAATGATTGGTTCGTGTCTTCAGGTGGAGTAAAGAGTGGGGAGACGGTGCTAGTGCATGCAAGGAAGGCACTTGCGTGGGGTGACAACTTACTAATGATTGGTTCGTGTCTTCAGGTGGAGTAAAGAATGGGGAGACGATGCTAGTGCATGCAAGGAAGGCACTTGCGTGGGGTGACAACTTACTAATGATTGGTTCGTGTCTTCAGGTGGAGTAAAGAATGGGGAGACGGTGCTAGTGCACGACGAAGGCGGCGGTGTCGGCACGGCAGCTGTACAGCTCGTGTCTCTAGTTGCTGCCACCTCAATCGTCACTGCCGGATCGGAGGAGAAGATACGGAAGGCGATGAACTTGGGCGCCAAAGTTGGCTTCAACTATCACGAAGGCAGCTTTGCGAAGAAGGTTCTAGAAGAGACGGCAGGTTAGCCTGACGCGTTTTTAACGTTTTTTTTATTGATATTAGTCGCAAGTCGTTCCTCGTGCTTCGTCCATCGTCATTACCTTTCACAAAATCAGCGCACCGGCGTGTGAAATGATTCGAGCCGTCGTGCTGTCGGATCCCCGCTACACTTCTCGTACCTGATTTTTGCGGAATACGCGTTTTGTCCCCCAGGCAAAGGAGCCGATCTGATTCTGGACTGCGTCGGTGAGTCTTACTGGGAGCTCAACATGGAGTGTATAGCTGTCGACGGCCGGTGGGTGCTGTACGGACTGCTTGGAGGGGGTTGTGTCAACGGAAATCTGCTGGCCATGCTCCTAAGAAAGCGGGTTATGCTGCAGGCAACGGCACTCCGTTCCAGGTCGACAGAGGTAAGAGCACATGTAGTGCATAGATAGCATTCTTCCTTACATCCCGTAGCAATGGCAGTGTGCAAAAATTCAACAATCCGGTTGCAGTTAGCATGTACAGTGCTGTAGCCTGCAGGGGGAGGGGATTTTGGACCAAAATTTAAAAAAATAAATTGTTCTACTAAAAGAGAATTGCTGTAGTCAGAATGAAGGCTGTACATGTACTCAAAAGTGCCTCAAATACCATCTCCTGCGATCTACAATTTCAAAATTTTCTGTGGGAGAGGACCCCCAGACCCTCCATCTGCTTCTCATCCCCTCCTTGAAATCCTGGATCTACCACTGCCCCCCCCCTAGGAATTTGCTCAGCCTACGGCCCTGATGTACATATCTATGTACAGCATAGCCGTTATGCATGTATCATGTTGCATTGCCAGCAATCCACCTTATTCCTTTAGCAACACCATACACGATCCTATATACTAACCAGAGCTCGTATATGGCTATTTCACTATTGTCACCATATTGTGGCAACTTGCCACGAAATCATGGGGTCAAAAATCTGAACATTTTGTCAAAAATGCAAAGGTCAGAGTACAGTTAATTAAGTCTGTATCAGCAGAACCGTGTTTGGAATGGGCAGCATCTATAAAGGACAGTTGATGCTTTCCTTGTGTGGCAGTTATACACTAAGCCCACCTCTATAAAACAAAACAGCTGTCTATAAAATAAACTTTTGGGGTTTCCTCGAGTCATTATTGTTATGTCCGTACTTACTCGTGGTAGACACATTATTCGGGTATAAACGGGTTCAATCAGCTCGGGCTAGAAAACGACAGCAACACCAGATTCCGCCATTTTGTAATCTATTTTCACCAGACGTAACCACCCGATCATAGGCAAGACTTCTCAATCAGAGGATTTACAATAATGATGTTATCTATAATAATAATGTAAATACATTACCACCAGAGCGTATTAAGAAGGATACGCCCTTCTTAATACGCTCTTGATTACAATTATTAGCTCATCTGACGTAGTCAGGTGCAGCTTGTAGAATCGCATGATCGTCCGTCCGTCCGTCCGGCCGTCCGTCAACAGTTGGGCTAAAATCTAAACGGCTCGACGTACGGATTCGAAAGTCAGGACGTGGTGGGGTAATCCGAAAACGAGTTGGGATGTCGAAGCTGGGGGGTCAAAGGTCAAGAGGTGTAAAAGAAGGGGGAACATTCCCTCCTTAACTTAAAGTAAAGGCAGGAAATGCAGAATTGTGGCACAAATCTAAACGGCTCGACCTGGGCTCGTGATAGTCGGTGTATAGCATCATGGTAGGAAAAGCCATCACTGTGCCGAAATTGGAGGTCACAGGTCAAAGGTCAATGGGGCACAGGGCAGATTTTAGACATTTTCTGAGGACATGGTCTGACGGAGCGATTGAAAAACATTTTTGTTTCAGCGGTGACCTACCATTTTTATGGCTTTACTGAAAGGACCATGCAATGTACTTTCCGCTGACATGTGAAGAGTAAGTGTCGGATAACCTTTTGACCCTCAAGAGGAGGGTTAAACATGGATTTTTTTAATGTTAGAGTTTTACTGCCGGGTTTGCTAGTAGAATCTATACATGCCTGGACATATAAGGCTACAATGTCACAGTGAAATTTCAAAAGCTAAATTTGGTTGAAGAAGGTTTATGCTCCTTAAATCGTATAATTTCTATGGCATTCTGTATTGTCAGTGTGTTACATGTAACTTATGCCACTGCCAGTGGTGGTGATAGTACTGTGTAGTTTTTGCCTGCGTTAATTAGTTACAGGTGGCAGCTCTCTATTTCAACCTGTAGGCTTGCGTAGGTAAATGGATGAGTGCTTACCTATTCCGTCTTGCAAATAGTTGTTGCTACTACGTATGATGAGAGCTTCCATCTTTAATCTTAAGACACTTAAACGTACGCGCCATCTCGTGGCAACTTTCATAACGATCCCAACGAACATTCCTTCGAGAAGGTTCCTGATACTATCCCTGTGCCTTCCACTGTTTTGGCGTGTATGTGAACACATTTGGGACTAATATAACTACTATAACAGGGTTTACTAGAATCCCACCACTCCACCACAGAGTCACCGCAGTAGACGTGAGATGAGCGCTGTCGCTCCACGGCACTTGTTATATGAGTTTGACTTTGATTTGTGTGAATTTCTTGTTGCAGTATAAAACCAAGCTGATTCGTAGCTTCGAGGAGGCCGCACTTCCTCTCTTCTCGACCGGAAGGCTGCGGCCCATCGTAGACACGGTGCTGCCCTTCGGTCAACTCAGTC